CTCCAAGCGGCCCCCCGCCCACCTTTCCCGCCGGCCTCCCCGGTCAGGGCCTCCGCGCCCCGCCCCAGCCGCGACGGTGGCGAGTCCCCCGGCAGCTGAGCGCCGCAGCGCAGCGGGTCCAGCTCCCGGGACACCGATCCCGGCAGGCAGCCCTCCACGTCAACCATCAAGGCCACCGGGCAGCAGCGACGGCGCCGCGCGGCGCCGCTCTCATGTGTTGTCCTTCCCCGTCCCAACACCAGGGACGGCGGGGCGAGCGGGCTGGGCCGTTGAGCGGGGGGAGCTTGCCCCATGTGCGCCTGGGCAGCCCATTTGAACCAAACCACGTCGGCCACGGTGGGGCCCCAATGTACGAGGCAAAACACGCAAGGCGGATGTCGTGTGTGGGGGTGTGTTGTGGGTTGGGCTGCTCCCCAAGGGGCGTTGGGACCACGCTAGAGGGGCGGGGAGGGAGAGGGATAAGGAGATGTCGGTGAGGAAAGGGCGGTATGTGAGGTACTAGCTACAGAGGGACCTGCGGGTCCAGGTCCAAGGAGAGAATGTACCGGTCCCTCTGTCTTTTCCGTGAGGATCCGTTCTTCTTCCGCTGACAAGGCCAACGCGGGTCAGCGGTATAGGGTGTCCGAAACAAGGAGGGGTCTTCGTGAAAAAGACAAAGAGCCTAGTTACATGCCGTCCGAGGACTTTTGTCGCTTTCGCGTCGCGACCGAAATGTTCCGCGGAAACCTATCGCGGATGGCCGCCGCCGACGGCCCTGTCGGTGCATTGCCTCGCGTTGTGTCAAGACAACCACCAGCACCATGTTGCCGAGCTGTGCCGCGTTTGCCTCGGTCACCAAGGCGCTGGATTGTTGTAAGCCCCTTTTGTGCACTTCCTGCTCATTGGTAGGTCCCACAAATCCGACATGGTGGCTGGGCATTCCTCAGCAATGTCTTTCACGACAAACGGTTGAGTGCGTACTGCCACGCCAACACTAGGCAGGCCACTCATATAGCCAAAGCCGCCAAGGACGCATTGGCGATCTTCCGCAGGCCCTTGAGGTGCAATTTGAAGCCAACCAGACAGTTCTTGGCAAGTACATACGGACTTCATTACACTACAGGAGTATGCAAAGGAGACGAAGAGTCGTTGACACCATGCACCATGTGACGTTCCTGAGCGTACAATGGCCTTTTTGGATCTGTGTTGTCTAGGCGCTGGTCAAAATCTTCCTGTTGTTTCCCTTCATATTCATTAGGAGAGGGGATCAGGCCCGCTGAAAGGCACTGCTTGCCATTTGAATGACGATGGGGGCAATGGACAATGAAAGCGAGAGATTTTTCTCCCAAGTGCAATCTCTACAGAACTGCTTTTTCGGCCGCTGTAGAACCGAGTCGCCCTGTCGCCAGTAGAAAACAGCCTGTTTGCGATGCCAACTGCGACGCCATTTGACACAAATTGATGCCATCGCAGTCCCCTTTTACGCCATCGCACTCACTGTGACGGCATCAATTTGTGTCAAAAGGGCATCGCAGCTGGCATCGCAAACAGGCTGTTTTCTACCAGTGTGTGCGCTTGTGCAGGTCCGCCCCATCCGTTGCATGCGTTCTGTACATTGCACAACATAACCTGCAGTCCACCGCGACTGCGAGGCTTGTTATTTACGGCGCAAGCACAGATCGTATGCGAAAACGTAAACACGTGTTTACTTCTGCCATGCGAAAAAATGGCAGTTACGCTTTTATGCAAAAACGCGCGAAATCCTGAGATACAGGGCCCGCGTGCATGAAGACATTATATACAGAATCAGGGAGTCCGAGGAGTAACAGCCAGACACGTCAGAGTGGGCAGGAAACGAGCTTTTGCTCGACGGCGTCGTTTGCGGAGGGTGAGGCGGACGCTGTGGTGCATATACTCCAGAGGACTGATCATTGCGGGCGACTTCATCATGTAACATCAATTTGGCACTTTTGGCCGGAATTGCAGCCCATGGCCCCGAGATGGAGCCCGCAGCAGCCACCGAAAACAGGGGCATGGATGCCAGGGGGGCGGTGGCCGCGATCGGGCCAGAATGCGGCAAGGGGGGAGGGCTGCTGGAGTAACGTGAGTGTCGCAGCGCGCCGCAAACATGCGTCAATGTAGATGCAAAAATAGCCTCTTCTGCGATTTTGCGTTTTCACGTGTAAAATGGAAGGCGCAAGAAGGTAAACGTAAATTACAAGCCTGGCACTGCCAAAGTTGCCCACTTTGCTGAAGCCGATATGGCTCTATATCTACGGTCCTGAGTCGAATAGCGGAATAGAGGAATAGAGGTGCACGTTCCTGCCGCACGGCACATGTTAGGCACACTTCCAATGCATCTGCCAACGCTCTACGCCTGTATGTTTCCATGACTCGCTCAGAAAATTGATGTCAGGCAACATGAAATCAAAAGGAGCATTGTTCTGGACAATCTCCTGGTGGGATTTTGTGGCAAGAATTGCCTCACTTTGGATACTGTTTGGCAGATTCTAGCAAGTGGTATCACGTGGGAAGTCCTAGCCTTGCTGGCTAGCATCAATCTGCTTTTTGGCAGCGCACTGCGGGTACGGTGGTTCACAGACTGTCACAAATTTTTGGCCCACGAACATGTCATTTCATCATTAGGCGGATGCGCTACACCCGAGATCACCATAGATACGACCCTATTCATGCAGCCCTCAGTCTGTTTCTGGCAATGGAAAGGAAGGCCCAAGCCGGAGCAGCTTAGAGTGATTGGATCAAAATATGAGGGGTTGTCAACGAACGGCATAACCCAAATTCTGCGGGAGATGCCGCGAACTTCAATGCGTTTTCAGAACACGTCCAGACCTTTCAAGAACGAAATTATTCCAACTTTCTCCGCTGGATCCACGTGGGGCAGGGACCAGTCTACCGTGAAATATTCAACCTTTCGCATCAAAAATTTCCAGTGTTACGCCTTTTGGTCCGCATTTTGTTTTTCGGAGCGTTATTTCATATTATATGTTGCTCCGCAAAAGAAGGCCATGTGTTGCGTTACTATTCACTATTTTGCTCCGCAAAAAAGGCCAAGCGTTACATTACTATGCGGAAGGGTTGAATAGTTACCGCAGATGAAAGCTCTTCTCTTGATGTTTATTTGCTCATTGGCAAGGCCTCATGCTCGACTGGCTCCACTGCTTTTTCCAAACTGCCACCACGGCTCGATCGACAAGCAATCTTGGACTATTCATGATGGAAACCCAATACCCATTGCTTTTGCCCAACAGAAGATGAAAGTTCACTAAACTTGGGCACGGGCAACACCAGGGCCGCACACACCAACCATCGATTCTGTCTTAATCATGGATTACTCCAGCCCTCATCCCACACTGGCCGTGCCAGTCGAGGAGATTGGCAGTGCAGGAGGAATGTTTTGGGTGCTGCCCATGGAGATGGCTCCGCAGGTTGGAAGCTTGATTGGGAACGTCATTTGTAGGGGCGCTACATGCATGGGATTTGTTATTCCCACTTCCCTGCAATTCTGTGCAGTATCGCCTTTGCCCAAACCACTTAAGTTCAGGGTAAAAGAGAGCGAATATTCGGCCTGATGGCTGGGCGAATCCAGAAACTCAATTGAGAGAACTCTGCTCAGTCTAATACCATATGATATTGTTAGTAGTACTTGATAATTGAGGTGGATCAGTGATTTGTTTTAATCGCTACCTTGTAAGATTAACAACACATTACTTTGGCAAAGTTAGCAAGTCAATTGCCTTTGGTAGCGCCGTAAAACTGAAGATGCTCTGAGATTCACCACAAACAAATATCCATGATGTGCACTGTGACCAATGTGACGCCTCCGCAAGGGACACACCCATGTGAGTTATATTCCGATGTCGCCTCGTCCTTCCACATGCTCTTGGCTATGTTTTTGCAGGGGCTCCACTCAGCATGGCCTTGATTGATTGGTGCGTTCCTCAAGAATTCCATATTCGTTTCAGCAAACCAGCGGAAGAGATCAAGCAGCCAAGGTGTGATTATGCAGCACGTTTTTTTTTGTTCTCTGTGGCTGGACGAATTGTTGCGGGAAGCAGGACACATCTCCGGCTGGAGTTCCAGACCGACATGGGAATTGTTGTTGAGCCTCTTTCAGTTACAATAGGTACCTTGCTAAATACTTAAGGGAAAACACTCTTAAATTTGCACGCTTAGCGTCAAATGGACGCAAAGCTCAAACCTCCTTCTCTTCCCCCCTCCCCCCTCTCCCTCTGAGCGTCAATCCTTATTTCGATGCCAGACTGATTCAACAACATTATCTAACAGTGCAATACAGCTTCAAGAGGTTTCACATGGAAAAAGGCAACCCAAGTTCAGCGAATGTAGTGGTTTGAAAAAATGGGATGCTAGCAGCCACGATAAGCAATGGAAGCACCTCCTAAGGCTGCAAATTGATGCATTTAGGACTTCCCGAGATCGAAAACTTGAGGGAGGTTTTTGAACAATGCGTGAACTGTCGGCCGTTCATCAGCTGCGTTTTTGCCCATCTTCCCACCCTATTCTGATTTTCGTGCAACCATGTAATCTCTTACGTCCATAGCCCGACCCATTCCCCCCCTTAGCGTCCATGTGACGCTAAACGTACAAAATTCAAAATAGCGCCTCCTGACGCTTGTAGCCACTTGAGACCCTCACTTGCGCTGAGCAGTCCACAGGGGAGGGTGGACAGATGGCTGCGGTATCCGTCGACGGGGTCGCAAATTCGAAAACATTCTCAACAGGAACCAAAATGGGAGGCGCAGGTCGCGGCAGCGGTCGTCCGGCACAGCATTCCACTTCCAAGCAAGATGATGTGATGATTCTTCGGGATGAAAATCCGCCACAATGGTATCTCCGTTAGCCCTTCTACAACCCCAACCCCCTCATTCGCGTGCCAAGCACAGGCTCCCCAGCAGCACGTGTATGACCCCTATTCTGTTCTACCCCTGCTCTAATATTTACGATTTGGTGCGCCAGCCCATGGTCCGGGTCTCTGTCATCGGTCATCGCGTCTGTCCACCACAACGACTGTCAGCAATCCATTAAGAAAGGCTGCCCGTCAGCCAGATTCCGTTATGGGTCACGGAAGCTCATGGACGCCCTAGACTCCTCATTCTCACCACAATATCAACTGGGCGAACTGAGACGTCCTGTATTTGGCGCATGCACGCTCTCGAACAATTTTTCATATCATTCGGGTTGGATCCCTTCACTAGACGGGACACTCCTGGGCCAGTTTTGGTGGCAGCCAGAAATCGAAATCACAACTAGAACAAGCGTGGACGCACGGGAACGACGCTTAGCGGAGTCTGATGATGGCAAGGACACTGCTGCACCTATGTTTCCGCATGTGCAGCGACTGGTAGCATCTTTACTAGAGGGATCATGGCATCTTGTCCAGCGCTAGGACGATCCACACATCATTTGTAGCCAGACGTGCATCCGCCGCCTGTACTCTGGGGCAGGCAAATGGCATAGCGATGATGCTGATCTTCACCATACCAATTTCAACAACCATACCAGCTTGGGGTTTCGCCAGGGTCCATGCTTCATACAAAGAAAGTTGTCTTGGGGAAATGCTGATGCAGGCAACCCGTCCATCATCATGTTTTTGAACCTCAAACGTGCATTTTCCAAACAGCGAACCCAAGGAAAGGATTAGGGAACACATGCGTGCAGTTTCAGTACCAAAAAAACGAGGGCCCATAATCTCTACATTATCTTTAGTTTCAGGTTGACATTGGCTCCATTCAGAGGATGAGATTTTGTACCATCACCGTCGTCACTTGCAACAATTTGCCATCGCACATCTTTCCTGTGCACACGGGTGAACTGCCAATATTCCTGCGTTAGTGTAACTTGCTTCAGAATGGACCAGATAGTGCATCTTTAACTGGCTTTCCTGTAGTGCCATGTTTCACCTGCATCCCAAAGCTGTCCAGTGTGGGATGGAAACAGTACATCTTCTAGAGCCAAAACGTCTTGCAATCTGATAATTGAAGCACTCGCATCCATCAGCCTGCAGTTGAAAGATTGCACATGGCCATGGCCACCAATTACGCCAATGTTGCAGCGCTCTGCCACTCACCGCCATGGTGCTGACGATCCATTCGCGGACCCCGCTCAGCCTCGCAAACACCGTTGGCAATTTTTGCTCCCCGCAGGCTTTGTCGGCCTCTGCAAAAGACACCACCCCGAGCACAATGTCCACCACAGGAACGCCATCCTCAATGACACCCTCTGGAGCAAAAGCAGAGACAAGTGGACCACCACCGTCGCCTGAGAGGCAGACCATGGAGGCTACCATTCAGTGCTGAAGTTCTTTTGCGAATCTGTCTAACCTTGTATATGTGTTTCCGTACTTCTGTGTGCACTCCTATGCCAGCTGTTCGCGCTCCCACACTCTTTGCATACTCGTTCCTTGCCTTAGCAGTATTCAAACACAGGCAACTGCAGTTTTGCAACTCCAGAGAATCACTTGCCAGTGCATGCATGTCCATGTCTGTTCTGCACATGTGCATATTTATCTGCAAGTATGTGCACCTGGAGCGGTTAGGATATTTAATTACACAAGTTGAATTGTTGACTATTCATGTGAGCATGACCTTCAATGCAGGACACGATCTGCAAACATGGTTGGCACAACAATAATTGTTGCATTTATTTTTTGATTCAAATGCTACAACACAACCAAGAGCTCAGCCACCCCTCCTGGCAGAAGAGACTCCTGATCTTCTGCCATTTCACAAGAATACACAAGGCGATTTATATGCCTAACACATTGACCTTGCGACAATAAATGCACAATCTCAAAGCAGAGAAGATTGGCACATGGAGGGCCTCTGATAGATCAAGCAGTGCTGTTGCTTTGGGCTGAACGCGAACTTTCCAGCTCCAATGCTGCTACTCCCTGCCCTCCCACCCACCAAACCACCCACCCAACGGCAGAACAGACGCCACTTAGTTTCCATTTGAAGGCACAGACAACATAACTGCATTATGTTAGCAGACAGCTTCGACGCCCTGAACTAAAATCTTGGCATGAAAGCCTTGCCACAACGTAGCCTCCACAACAATTCCCCGTTGCGTTCGCAACATGTGGCATCTTATTCAGCATTGTCAAGACAAACAGATAATGGAGTTTCACTGCCATGCACTATACAAAATATACAGACCGCTGCAGGAAGTGATTGGGTGGCAGTGTACAGCAAAGAGCTTGGGGGGCAAAGTGCAAACCCCAAAACAGCATGGCAAGCCATCAACTTTTCCCATTTCAGCAACACGTCAGCAACACTGCAGAACAGGTGGAGGGGCCATCACACACCGCAGACAACTCCGACAACCACAGACAGACTATGCCCTAATTTCAAAGAGTAAACGAACAACTCCAAAACAAACACAGACTACTCACCAGTGCAGACATCTTGACCCTGGAACCCCATGGCACAGATCATCTGGTCCGGATCAATGAAGGACCCCCATGAATCACTACTGGTGCACAACACAGGTGGTATGATGTCCACTTCATCCGCCATCTGCAGGAAGTCTGCCATCGTCCCATCCCTCTGCTGGCCCCACCCCAGCACCACCAGGTTTTCACTGCTCAGCGTGTCGTCATCTTTCTCTGGTAGCACTGGGAAGCTTTTCTCTGACGCCTCACTCAACTTGAGCAAGGCGACGTCGTAGCCATTTAGGAGATCGCCTGTGTACATGGGGTGCATTATTGACGTCTCCACCTGCACCACCTGGCCCACAACCATGTGCATCCAGTCGCGCACCTCAGCGGTCAGACACTGGATCCCATCAACAGCATGGCACTGATATCACATTCCTGTTGCCTTGCAAGTGCCCCGCATGGTGAAAATTTTAACTGCTAATAAGTTTGCAGCCACACTGCCCTTTGTTCTTTTTGGCTTTTCTCTTCTCAGCTTTGCTGACCAGGATTGCTGCACCCGGCCCACATCGGCAAGCACCGCCACAAAAACACTGTGGATTGATGGATGTTATCAATTTGGCTCCCTCTGGAATCCAAATAAGCAATGCTGATGATTCACTCAATGAGACCAAAACACACGTACCATTCCTGTCTACTGTCAATGTGGGCTGTTGCAGTTATGTCCGTTGCCAAAAGCACAGCATCGCAGCCACCAAGGCTCTCACCTCAGCTTCATCATCATTTTCTGCGTCTTCGAGTTGGCAAGCACCTATAACAGCCACAGGCGTCCGTCCAACAGTATTTCTGGCCTGTGGGTCGACGCAGTGGGCCGCTGTGACCAGCCATAGGGAGTCCACCAGTACTGCACCGCATGCATGGGTGCCGTTCGCGTTTCGCAGTGACGCCATGTACGGGAAGCGCCGGGTCATCTCACAAGGGGCATCCCGCCCATCCTGCAGGCAATGCACGGTCTTTCGTAAGGAAAGAGAGATGCCATGAGACAATACACTGACTATATTGCTAACAGCACCATACTGCAGCTGCAAAACACAGCATCCTTCACACTTTACCCGCAGTATTGACTTTTCAGAACAGAAAGCACAGTGACCCAAGTGACAGGCAACCAGATTCCCACCCACCGCGATTAAAAGCTGTCTCTGCAGTGCAGCCGCATCCTCCCAATTTATACCATTCTCCGCAACTTGGGACCCTGCATCACCACACAGCTGCTCAAATTCACCTCACAGCGGGTCTTGAGGTGGCCAGTTGCGCTGTTGGACTGTGTCATGTGTATGTCTACCTGAACGTTGCGACTTTATTTGTGACTTAGACTTCACCAAACGTTGTCATAACATGCTATGAGAAGCGAATTTTGTATTGGATTGGCTCTTTCTGCTGTGACTGCACTTACCCATCACCACGGGGCAATTCTTTCCTTTCACAACTTTGCCTTTGGTGTCAAGGCCATACCGAGACACTGCTGGCCCATTCAGTAGATGGAACTCCAGTGCACAAATAAATTGGTGAGTATTGCCATGGGACGGCCACACAGAGCAATCTGGAGTTGTGCATCTATGCTGTCTGCCCAACAGACACTCACCCTTCCAGCCCGACTCCGGATCTGGCAGGGATCAAGTTTTGATGTGTGGACAAACGCTTACACCGTCTTGAACGCCCAGGTTGCATTGGCTGCATTGGGTGCAGTTTGCTCACTACCGACAAGCAAGGGAGCAGCGCTGTGTGAAACAACAACGGTAGGCTACGCAGGAGTTCCGCGCCCGAATTCACGGCACTGCAGCGCTGCAAATGCCGCTGCCGTGGGACGGCGAATAGTCCAACAAACAAATGGAACGAACCAACGAAATGGAATGCACATTTGGTTGCGAGGGCGCAGGTGGGCAGGCAGCCACGGTGGCTGTCCGATCGCCGGCAGCCCACAGCACTTCCTCGCCAAGGCCGAGTGCCTGGGTCCCGTCTGTTGCCTCCCCCCCACCTCCCGCCCACTGAATCGACCCGTTGCCTGGCCGACCGCGCGGCGGCGCGGAAGCTGGAACGCGCAGCAGCCGGCTCTCGCGACGAAGGTCGGGTTCCAAGATACGTGCGGGCATCGCACCGCAAAAGGCCCTCCCACCCGGCGCAGCTTTCGCACACCCGCTGGGCCCAGGAGCGGCGCACGTCCCAGGGGATCATCCGGGACTTTGCACAGCAGCGCACTTCCAGCCCATCGCGGAATTGGACCGGCCCTGGGCGCTCAACCGGAGCAGCGGCGGCACTTCTCCGCCTTGTGTGCGCGAGGACACGTCCCCGGCGAAGCGGCCGCCGTGGAGGACCCTCGTCGAACCGAGCGCATCGTTCGAATCAAAGGCGCTTCAGCCCAACATCCGCCCCCTCCCCCGTCGGCCGCCTCTCGCGATGCCGACGACGCCCGCCGGGACCGACCGCCCAGGGGGCGCCGCCCTGCCCTCCCCTCCCCGCCCGCCATCCCGCAGGAAGGATTTCAGAGCCCCCGTGACAACCTCGCGCTGACAATCGGCGCAATCAACTTCATTTCCGCCATCGACACCCACCAGGCATTCCCAGCCTCCCCCACCACGGTCACCTGACCCCGTTCCCTCCCTCATGCCCGCCGCCCCGCCGCATCGAATGTACCTCGCCGTGCGCGCGGGCCACCGCCGAGCAAATCTCCCAAACCATGGTTGGCCCCGCTCAAACGTCGTGACTCACCTGAGGCGCCGCCGCCCGATGCCCAGACGCCTCGGCACGCCACGCAGATCATCAGCGCCAGGGCTGCCCACGCGGAGGCCGCCATGCTTGGCGGGGCGCAGGGTGGGAGCCTCGCGGAGGCACGCCGGTTTGGCGGGGCGGGGCTGAGGAGTGGGGGCGCTTGACTGCAAGTCACCGATGCGCCATTGTGTGATATGCATGTCGTGCTCGGCGAAAACCAGCGTGAAGTCGGCCTGAGGGTGTCCGAAGTGAACCTGTACAACAGCCACGGCGGGGCGGTGCAGGTCCTGGCAACTACCGGCAGGGGGCGAGGCAGCGGGAAGCTGACAGCGTGGGGGCGTGGCTCAGGAGCATCGCATTATGGCCCGTTGATGACGCCTCCTGATGCGCGGGTTGGCTGATCGCCTGTGATGCGGACGGACAACGGCTGTGTGAGCAGACCCTGCCTGAAAATAGAACGAAGAGGAAGGAAAACGAATCCGCATATGAGTGAGGTTAGCCATGCGAATACCCCCGCGCATCCGAATACGAGTGACTTGTGCTCTACGTTGAGCAGACCTTTGCGGTGGCAACGTGGGAAAGGAGGAAGGCAAGGGAGCCAAGTGAGAATGCACTAGTCCCTCTGTGTTTTCCGTGAAGATCCTTCCTTCTTCCGCTGCGAAGCCCAGCGCGGGTCAGCGGGTCGATGGTTTAGGGTTAGGGTGTCGAAACACGAAGGGATCATCAAGGAAAAGACAGAGCGACTAATTTCATGCCCATCCGGGTTGTCCTGATCAGCTCAACGCGGCTTCCTTGCCTTCCTCCTTTTAGCTTCGCCACGAAGAAACCGTTGTTCTCTCAGTAGCTATCCCAGGCAGTCACCTCCCAGTGTAATCAGTGTTTGGAGGATACGGGGAGGAACTGGGTGTTCTGGACGCATGAAGAGGGGAGCAACTGAGCTTGTAAGACCCACCAGCGCTCTGGCCCTGCCATGGCTGCCTAGGTAGGCCTGAGCCGTCTGCTCTGAAGAGAGGACGCACGTGACTTGGTGACTGCTGTGGATTTGAAAATCGGGTAATTTGTGAGGCTATTACCACTAACGAAATTCAGTGGTTTCGACAATAGGCAGAAAATGTTGCTGGGTGCTTTGTCATCCTGGTAACATGTCCGGTATGCAAGTAAAAATCCACCAGAATACACTGTTTCGAACTGTGTCAAAATCGTGCAAAACCCTGCCAAAACGTGCAAAATCATATACACACATTCAATCGTCGCTATACGGTTTGGCCACATTTTTGTACGATAAATACGCGATTTTCCACGATTTTTACACGACTCTCAATCGTGTTACAGGGTACACGATTTCCGATACCGTCTAGTTTGGTCTGTTTTTCGCTATTGCTGGGTGCCTCCGAACGTGGATTGGCGCTCATGTTCTGATGTCATGCCATGGCCAAGTGAACAACTGGACGTGGGCAGCGAGGTGCACAAGCAGCTTCTCTCCGCGATCGCGATTGTTGGTGTGGCGCCTTCCTGGCCGTGGCCGTCGCTAGTGACATCGAAACTTGTTGCAATGTGTCGGCAAACGTGCGGCCGCTGGATGAGGAGGCGGCAAGGAAGCACATGACCGTCAGACAGCGGTTGGTGCAGAACCACTGGCAAGGATGGAAGCAGTTACTCGCCCAAGTGAAGAGCTCAGGAGGCTTGCATTCCATGAAAGCACGCAGAACGTCATGGCGTTGGACGTGTGCCCACCGGGCGAGGAGGCGGCAAGGAAGCACATGTACCAGTAGAAAATAGCCTGCTTGCGATGCCAATTGGGACACCATTTGACACAAATTGATACCATCGCAGCCACTTTTATGCCATCGCAATCACTGTGACGGCATCATTTCGTGTCAAAATAGCATCGCAGTTGGCATCGCAGACATGCTGTTTTCTACCAGTACTGGCCGTGAGACACCAGTGGGTGCGGAACCACGGTCAGGGATGGAAGAATTTATTCACTCAAGGGTAAGTTCAGGAGGCTTGAATTCCATGAAAGCACGCAGAATGTCATAACGTTGGGCGAGGAAAGAGGGTGCAGAGCCGCGAACCTTGCAGGTTGGAAGGTACCACGGCCCCGTACTGAAACTGAAACAGCATTTTTTAAGGCAACCCCCGTGCTTAAACTATGGGGGAATCCGTAACTCTCGCATTCGTTGAATGAAATGCGACGCCGCCGCATTGAAAACACCTTTGCGGTGCCTGCTATATGTTTGGCAGCTCTCTCTTTATAGTGAGCGACCATTGCTGGTGCACTTCGAGCCTCTGCTGGAACTGTCTAACTGTTGGCAGTGGCCCCATTGTAAGGTGGGGTGTTCTGTGAGTGGCAATGAAAGCACATACGAGTCCACATGTTTTAATCGACCCTTCCTCTACTTGCATATCTCCTGAACTAGAGTATTTTTCTTTGTGTGCCGCATGTCGTGCGTGGAAGAATCTGATCCTGATGCACACTAGCAAGATAAAAGTTGGTGTTTCAAAACCTTCTCCATCGCGACCACTGCATCATGTTTACCGTTGGTGTGTTATAGTGGCGTTCTACATCGCGATTCCGTCACGGAAATTTAAAACCTGCTTCTCTTTCATCTCTGTTTCCGGTGTAACGCAACTAGGTGCCCTGATCCGTCGCTTCTTGTAATCTTCGCTGGATATACGCTGGTTTGATGTGGGCCAAATTGCCGCCCACAAGGAGACACGAACATTTCCACATTCTGTTTGTGGCACCGCTCGTCCCAGTGGCATGACAAGAGCTGCTCTATTGTCTCTCTTCTTGTGCCAGACGCCGACTTCAAAATCTTGGATGGATTAGGACTCTCGCCCTTGGCAATTTTGACAGGGAGCCCGTATCCCTATCCATTCCTCTCAGAAATATCACTGCATGATTTCACCTCCCCGCTCTTGTTATTCATGGTGCAAACACGCGCCATTCACGCGCATTAAGGGCAAAAGTATTTGTTTACTTGTTCGCGTGCAAGAGCGCGCAATAATGCGTAAATACGGTTGCAGTGCACATATGCCAGTACACACAGCCTCAGTGACGCCGGAGAGTGGCACAAAGGTTCACTGCAGTGGGCAGAGAACGACCGTCTGCTCGGCGACGTCGACGTCAACGACGTCGTTGCCTTTGCCCGAGGGCGAGGTGCATGCTGTGCTACAGGCGCTCGGAGGGTCTGAGGAATGATCAGTGTTTGCGACCTCATCCTGCACCCAGCTGGGTGTGTCGTCGCGCCGCAAAAGTGTGTAAATATGACCGCAAAACGTGCCTTTCCTCGGTTTACGCGTTTTTATGCGTAAAACCTTAACGTAAAATGTTGCTTTAAACGTAAGTTACAGGCTTGTGCGGTCCTGTCTGATTAGTTATTCTGTGCAATCAGGACCACGTACCGTGATCACCCAGTAATAGTATCCGCAGGTAGCGATCCCAAATCGGAGAGGAAACGGGTCAGTGGATGGCAACATTGGTTTATGGATTCCTACACGCATTCAGGCTTGGTTTTTACGTTTACGTTTTTACTTTTACGTTTTTACGCGTAAAAACGTAAATTTGCAAAAGGGCCTATTTTTACGGCTATTTTTACGTTTTTACGGCTCCCTGGCACACGTAGTTTACACGATGAAAGTTGCATATAATGATCAGTCCTCTGCCATCTCCATCACCCGGAGCACAATGTCCACCTCGCCTGTGGCAAGGGCGATAACGGCGTTTAGCAAAAACTCGTTTTCTGCCTCTTCCAAGGCGTCTGGCTGCCACTTTCCGAACTCTGTAAATCTATATGTACTGTCTTTATGTACACCAGGCAGTTTTTACGTTGTATTTACGTATTTTTACGCATTTTTACGCGTAAAAACGTAAAAACTATTTTTACGCGTAAAAACGTAAATACGATCAGTTTTTACGGCGTAAAAACCAAGCCTGCATGCATTGGACCCACAAAATTTACCTATGGTAGAGAATTCGGAAACCAGGCATAGGTATGGAAAACTAAGTTAGAATCAATTAGAAATGAGTCGAATGATCGCCAGGTGCCAACCGATGACCAGTGAATTACGACGGCCACCATCCAAGGACATGTCTTGTTCGTTGGAACCTGACTGCGGCAGTGGGCTTCGAGCTTTGTGTTAGGGACTGCTTGCCACTGGGCTCCCATGGCGGCATGTTTAGCAGAACGCAAGCGAGCCCCTTGGCAACACTGGCAAATGAAGCTGCTTCACTGAAAGAAAACTGGAAGAAACGCCGTACAAACGGTCTTTACTTAACGCATCCGCGACGCCTCTCATCTCGAATCATATGCCCCGCTCTCCCAAGCGAAGTGGTGCCCCACGGCTCCTTGCCACATCCAAACCCTACCACATTCACCCCGGAGAAGCGCTCCCATTCTTTCATGTTTGCGGCTTACGTTCGATCTGCACATTTGCAATGTTCTTACGTGCATGTCCATGGACATGGACACGGTCTGAGTTGATGGACAGCAACTCAGGCAAGTGTGCAAGCTGCGCGCCGCCGCACGGTGCAGCTTCCCAGCAAACAAACAGCATCTTTGACAACAATCTCACAGATCCAATATATTTCACTAGCTATATAGCTACGGGGCGTGAGATCGACTGGCAATCAGCCAAACAACAGCAGTCGATCATGATGGTTCCTCATAGCTATTATTAAGATGGACATCAGCAGTGTTAATTTAATGCCGGGGCGTGGGTATTAACATGGTTTGGACGATCGGTGATTGGGGTGGACACTAGCAGTCTTTAGAAGCATCTTGTACTAATATCTGGAATCACTACAAGCAAATACGGCAAATACGGTATTCAAGCGTGACTGTGCGGACATATTCATAGGTATATAATCAAACGCAAAATCGTCAATAATCAAGCTGGATAAGGGCAACGATGTTGCGCGTTGTCAATGGCAATATTTCAGCTTGTCAATCCCTCAAGCACCCATAATATTGCATTCGAACGCTACTTACTAACGTCGTCGCCATTAACTTGGGAAAAGTGAACCTGTTTCCCCTTCGTTAAATGTGGCAACGTCAGTGAACACATCATCCACTATTCGCTGTTCCTGGATTGGAAATAAACTACCATTGTTATGACACGAGGTAAAATGTCCACTCGATTTTACATTTGACAGGTTATCAAGGAGCTCCTTGCCAACACAGGGCCAATTCCCATCAATCTCCTGGACTTGCTCCTACTCCAGTGGATTTATTTTTTTCGGTTATGCCAATTCTTGGTGGATCAATTCTGTTTCTGAGCCTTGTTTCGTAATTGTCGTGGTGTTGCGCAAGGGCCTGTCGTCTGTATGCATCACCATGCGTGGTGCGAAGCCACATTTAATTTCGCTGCAGTTTTTATTTGCACGTGCCGACGCATTTCAATGAAGTTTTTGAGCGTTTACTTTGATAGGGTAAACAGGATATCAATAGCAAGAAAAATACCAAATAATAAAATTTGCGAACACATTTATATGAATTCATCACTGTCCTGCACGCTCAAAACAAGGAAATAATCCAAATCCGTAAACTTTGCACACGTTTGAGCACGTGTTATTCGGTCTTCTTTTCCCAGTGATGTTGCACAGCTTGTACCATAAATAGCTTGAATATATTGGTTACATTATTCTGATCCGTAGAAATTGCTTGGGATCACATAATGGCTGGCGCACATTCGAGATCATGTGCATAGGGTCTTCGGGGCTTAGTTGAGGATGGCTTGATAATGGATTTTGGTGTTTTTCCTTCGTTTATTTCTCCCTTTACGCTATTCTACTTGTTTCACTGTAACCCGTTTTTATGGTATGTGTTCTTGCCCTTCCGTTAAAAACCAAATCCGAACATTTACCCATTGGATCCCATATTTCCTGATCTGTTAGTCTGCCCTTCTTCCCTAATGGTGTTTTGGTGGTGCGATTTTCACAGTGTATGGAAGCAAGCGGACAATTGGCCTACCTTTGGCATGTGGATTTAATCCTGCCATCACATGTATAACCCTATGGCTGTGCTTTGTTATGATTGATCACCTGTCATGCAAAAAATGTCTATATGCGCATGAGCCTCGGCGCTGTGTTGATCATTGCGAGTATCATGCCCTGCTTTCACTAGCAAGAAAAGGACCAACAAGCACATTTTGCGAACACATATATACGCATTTCATCAGTGTTTTGCAAGCTAAGAACAAGGAAATAACCCAAACCCATAAACATTGTGTACATTTGAACGCGTGTTAATTGGCCCTTTTTTCATATTCTTTGCTGCAGCATGTTGAGCGGTTGGCTTTGGATGTACCCGCATTCAAATTATCCACATGCAGATTTGCTCCACAAGTCCTACATGCACCGGCTCCTGCTGCAGGTACTTGGGAACGCAATCGCAGACAATTAAACGTGATTATGGAAATGCCGAAATCATGCAAGATTAGGCGTGGAAAAAAAGGCAACCGCCTGTGTCTAATAGGCTTGACTCTGGGTAACGGCTACATGCGTCTAACTGTTGCCGCCCCGCGAACCAAGAGCCGCCTGTTCGTAGTTCCATGAGGGGAAAACACTGCCGATAATGGCCTAGAGGACTAGCACCCCATCGCAGCCATTTCAAACAAACTGCTGAATCTTTTGTGGCCTGCAGACAACGCAGCTGAGGTCGCCTTGGTCATTGGCAGGCTTGGCTTTTACGCCGTAAAAACTGATCGTATTTACATTTTTTGCGTAAAAACAGTTTTTACGTTTTTACGCGCAAAAATGCGTAAAAATACGTAAGTACAACGTAAAAACTGCCCGTTGTACATAAGGACAGTACATACAGACTTACGGAGTCCGGAGAGTGGCATCCAGACGCTCTGGAAGGGACATAAAACGAGTTTTTGTTAAACACCGTCATCACCCTTGCCAAGGGCGAGGTGGACACTGTGTTGCGGGTCTGGATATGGCGGAGGCCTGATCATTGTGCGGAACTTTCATCGTATAATCTAGGCGTGCAAGGGAGCCGTAAAAACATAAAAATAGCCGTAAAAATAGGGCCCTTTGCAAATTTACGTTTTTACGCGTAAAAATGTAAAAGCAAAAACGTAAACGTAAACGTAAAAACCAAGCCTGGTCATTGGGATCGCGGTGGACTTGAACCTGATGCATTTGGGCGAATTGTCTAAAATCTTTGATTGCTTAATTATTTGAACAGGGAAATTTACTGTGTGGTTTCCTTGGGGTGGCTGTTATGTCTAATCTCTGAGGCTGACATAGGCTTGCTTCCACCTGCTTATTGTCGCCATTTCTGTGCCTTATGGCGTTCAGCCCTTGAGCCATGCTCCTGTGTTTATTTTAGTCGCCCATCTGTGGCCCATGTTGCTCGTGTGGCCTTATGATTCGTTCCTCTTATGGTGACTAGGCAATGAATTGACTTTGCTGGGACATGATATATCCATTCTGATCTGTCAGAAATATAATATGTAAAAGGGTGACACGTGTGTTGTTGTGAATTTGACACTACTCCGCGCTTCCGCTGTCGTCAGGTGATCAAAGCCGCATCGTCTATGGTGAGCGTCCTGAAGGTCGCATGAGCTGGGAATGCCCTTGCCTGATGGACTGTTAAGGTCAGTGACTGCAGTGCTACGGCCAGGAGCACTCGAATAGTTTAATCGGGAAAGAATTGGAACGTTCAAGTTGGCAAAGTGGGAACATTAAGGCCGCGCAACGCGTCACGAAAAGTTGCCGACGGCGCTGAGTTAGGCGGCGAATCCACATTTTTGGTACTTAATTCATGAGATGCCTCATTCTCCTCAATTATTATTATTCCCATTAAAACTCCATTTAACTTCCTTTGAAACCCCCGTTAAACTTTCAAACTCCCATTAATTATTGCTCCCACGATATTGAGGGGTGTTTGAGCCTTGAGCTGAGGGCTTTGTGCATGAACACAAGAAGCGCGTCATGTCGTCGAGCGCTGGGGGTTTGGTCGATATTCAAGGGGGGGCTCCAAATGAAATTCCGCTGTTCATGGGAGTTAAGAAGGCTGTCTTAAGGATTCGTGGCCTGGGTGGTTGGCTGACGGGGAGCACACCACCAGCAGAAGAAAGACCTAAAAACGATTTTTGTTTCGAACACATATGAAATGCATTTCATCTATGTTCTGCATGCTGAAGCACGAAAATAACCCAAAGACGCAAACACTGTACATGTTTGAACACGTGTTGTTTGTCCCCTTTTTCCCTAGTGCACTCGGCAGATTTCCATGTACTGTCCCGCAATTGGGGGAATGAGCTCGGCTTCTGGAGGTGTGACTTGGATACGTAGAGGCAAACACCGGCGTTCTGGAAAAATTAGGTTTACAATGCTGTTCATCTATTGTGTTTGAGTCTCTGTGACTCTCGGCTCTGCCAGGTTTATCTCTGCTACAAGAGGGCAAAGAGGGCGAAGAGGGCAAAGACTGCCACGTGTCACAAACACGCCGTCGGCCCCACTTCACAGCCGATGCATCATCCTGGATTACCATGGGCCATCCCAAGGATAATGGGCTGAAACCGTGCCATCGGAAACACTCGACCTCTCCTGCCATTCACTCAGGTATCTCGATGCTCACCACATTTAAAAAACACACGCCTGAAAGCCTTTCGTGCTCACACTTGCGAAGGTTCAGCGACTGAGCCCGTTTTATAAAGTAGCCACTGGGTAATTACCCATGAGCAACGGGTGCTGCTGCACAACGCGAGCCGGTACTGCCGTTACTGATCAGACGTACTCCGCAGAGGCGGGCTCCTTGGACAATCCCTTCAATCAGTCAAGGCGCGTTACACATCTGGGCGGCGTACAGCCGTCCATCATATCCGACACGTGCATGGTACGATGCCCATGAACGAACAATTGAGCGGGGTCGTGGGGGCGCAAGGAGAGGGTTGCCACCCAGAGGGTCCCCCGCGCAGACGCCATTGAATCCCAGCGGCAGGGCACCTCTGCGCGGTGCGCGGCGGCGCCCGACCGCACCCCCAACCCCCTTATGGACCCCTTCTTTCTCACCTTCCGGGACCCCGCCCTGGAGCGGCGGTATGTGCGCCACATAGCCGCTGTCAAGAACCTCAACATCGACAGGTGCTACTGGTGGTGGGCGTTCATCGTGCGCGGCATCGCCTACTGGCGCTATGCCGTCAGGTTTGGACCGGGTCACTTCGCCGTGGCGCGGGTATACCTCGCCTGGCTGGTGGCGGAGGCAGTGCTGCGACGGACGTCAGCCATGTCCAGCCTGCCGCATCTGAGGGAGCCGCTGGTGGTAATATCCAGGTGCGGTTGACGCCTCCCGCTGGGCAATTACCGGGCGACCCCTCCGCGGGCTCAAGCGACGATAGTCGAAAGCCGGAACTGTGTGAGAGATGCACGCGGGGTGGGTGGTCATGCCGGGTTTTTGGCGTGTGTTGGCAAGGGAAGAGCCGCGGCATGTCGGGAGGGTTGGCTGCGTGCCAATGCACGGATCAGGTTTCGGGACGTCGCGCGGCTCTTCTGGGATGTTACGGGCCTTGATCGGGTGACGGAGGAGAACAGCCCCTCCTCGACCTCTGCGGTTGAAAGCCGGTGCCACCCAAGGCGACCGTGCAACTGTCCGACAATGGTTGCGCGTGTGGGTGTGCGTATGGATGGGGCGCCGTTGTACGACAGGTTTCTTTTGTGTAGGAGAGTCAATACTCAGCGCGTTTTCAAACAGCCCGATGTCTGCATGAGGGCGCAGTATCCCGCACTGCCGGTCAGCGCCCTGTTTTGGCGTCGCGCCGCTGGCCTCGGCTTCGATAACCTAGTAAGAAGTACAGCGAAAATATGATTTTGAGGGGAATGTTGGTATGCAAGAAACTGCTTGTTGGCTGCTGAGACTGTGCGCACCTGGGTGTGCATCTTATCGGTGTACCCACGCGCTGAGAGTACCCAGCCAAGCACGTTGTGGGAAACGAATCCCAAACATGCGTATAGTGTAGCTTGAGCAGGCCCTACCAGTTTGACTTTTGCTGTCCCCATTGTTGAGCATATCTTCCACACAACCCTCCAGCATGAACCGGACACCTTTTCCAGTGTAGTCACAGCTGTACTTGCAAGCGTCGACACACCATCGCCACTTCATGTCATGCACTGCAGTTCATCAAATGTGCTGTTCCGTCTCTGAATATGTGAGGATGATATACAGTGCTGGCTGAAATATGATCGGTCACAACTTCTTCCGTGGGGACTGTGAATTGGGGCTGGAATAGTTTCTCAATGTTTTCATACCTGTTGAGCACACCATATGCACTTGTGCTGGGCTGCATATACCTGCCACGCTTCCTTCCAGTGACAGTTCCAAGGCTCAAAATGTTGGAAGTCTCGATTCTCAACAACAACAGCAGACGTCATGATAGCCCAAATGCATCAAAACCTGGTTGTTTTGAGATGGTCACCTTTGCAAACGTGTTCAGCTTCATGTCCATGACAACAGTGTGGTGTGGCAGACTGATCCACACTGTCGAGGTGGGCACAATGGCAGAGCACAGCTTGTCCGATCTCCTGGACTTTCAAGGCGATCACCTCTCCATGAAATCAATCATGACCAGTCTCATGATCGACGGCCTGATTCCCATGATGTTCCTGGGGCTTTTCCAGCCGCTCAGATTCTGGTTGCACCTCCCTGTGCACCTCATCTCCTCCATTTTCATTCTGGGAACAATGAACCTCCAGGTATGCAATATCTTCGCAACTCCCTTTCCAAGCACTTCAAGATTTCCTGGATTTTCAAGTCAGGATTGAACAGACACTATTGGACAACTGCTCCTAGTGTGGCTTGTCTTTCCCTTACAGGTGTACAAATGCACTGTTTTTCATACCTGAATACACGATCTAATGAACTGTTTCTCCTCAGGTGTGCAGCCTGACTGGTGGGGCTGGCGTGCCTGGCATGACACAGATACTCATGGGCCTGGACGCCACGGCAAAGCACATAGTGGGCACCGTCTTCACCACGCACCTGAATGATGAGCCCTCCTGGAAGGTTGAGTGCCCGTGCCTGCAGAT